CAGAGAACAGGGAGAGATGGAAATCAATGATCTGCTGTGGCAACCCCTGAAAAAAAAGGGACAAAGCCGAAAGAAAAAGAGAATCTTCTCTGCATGTTTCTCTTCAAAGTATAGCGTTTTGAAAAAAAAAAAAAAGGAAAATAAATTTTGGGAATTTTTCAGCAAAACCAAAATGTTTGGTCAGAGGTTGGAAATTTTAGGGAAAATTAAAAAAAATTAAAAAAACATTTTAATTATAAAATTAATTATAAAATTATTAATTATAAAAATATCTTTTCTGCATGTTTCTCATGAAAATATAGCATTCTGAAAATATTTTTGGAAAAACTTTTTTTTTTAGTTTTTCGGCAAAACAAAACTTTTTGAGAAAAAGAAAATTACAATTTGATCTTTCCTGCATGTTTCTCATCGAAATATATTGCTTTGAAACTTTTTTTGGAATATTTCTTTTTTTTATAAATTGTGTTCAAAACCCACATTCTTGGTCACGTTGAAAAATGTTGCATGTTTCTCTTCAAAATATAGCGTTTTGAAAAAAAAAATGGAATTTTTTTAATTTTTCAGCAAAACCAAAATGTTGGGGTCAGAGGTTGAAAATTTTTATAAAATTTTTTAAAAAAACTGTTTTTTTTAATTTATCTTTTCTGTATGTTTCTCTTCAAAATATAGCATTTTGAAAATATTTATTGAAAAACTTGGTCAGATGTTGAAGAATGTTGATGAAACTTTTTGAGAAAAACAAAATTACAATTATCTTTTCTGCAGGTTTCTCATCAAAATATGGCGTTTGGAAAAAAAACTAATTGTTTTTGGTCAGATGTTGAAAACTTACGATAATTTTTTTTTTGAAATTTTTAAAAAATAAATTATATTTACTGCATGTTTCTCATCAAATTACAGAATTTTGAGAAAATTGAAATTTTCCTGTCAAGTTGGTTTACGAGAGAAATTTTTATTAAGATTTTTTAAATTTATTTTCTAAATTTGTCCTTTTTTGCAGGTTTCACAGCATTTCGAGAAATTTTCAGAACTTTGTTTTTGGAATTATCTGATAAAACTATAATTCCACATGTTATCTTGGTTGCACAGAGAAAGAATTTCATCAATTTCTTTTCTGCATGTTTCTCATCAAATTAGAGCATTTTTAGTAATTTTACAGAATTTCTTTTTAATTTTCTGGTAAAATCCTAATTCCGCATGTCATGTTTGTTGTCACCTAACAAAATTTTAACTTTTTCAGCATCAAAACATTATCATCTGAATGTTTAAAAAAATTATGATAAAACTTACTGGGCAATTTTCCAGTGAGTAAGAAAGAAGGCTTCCAAATGAATATGGTACGCTGGACAGAAGTGTGCTGCTGCTGTAATGCTAGAACGATAAACAAGACTCCATTCACTAGGTGGCAGCAATTCATACAATGGTATGTACAGATAAGAATCAGGTTCTCAATAGTATTTCAATTAAGATGGGCCAAAAAAATTTCTGTCCCCCTGCGGGACAAGTTCTGTCCTGCTACTTGTTCCTGCAGGACAAGTAGCAGTAGGACAATGAGGGACAGCTGCAATAATTTAAAGCCTACCTTTTTTATTAAAAACCAAGTAACATGCACGTATTTTGCCTTTTACCTCCACAAAAAAAATACTTTATAGCACCCAAGACAACCTAAACCTAGAAAGCACACACATTTTGCAATGTAACATATTGACTGATGCATTATCTTAATTCTTCCACATTTAGCATAAAATAAAACAATTTCAATAGGTCTCTGTAAAACAAACAACTTCTGTGGATTCGATGGCCATCTGTGACCAAAACAGAAAAATAAAAAAAGAGAAATACCTCAGCATCACCAAACAGATTTTGCATCACAATCCAGCAGGTGGCAGGCCATCAGCCTTTCTCTGTACTATGAACAGCACGTTTCTGAAACACATTGGTAGCAGAAAAACAAACGCTAACGTTAAAACCTAGGCTATAATAAGATTCAGTGGCCATGAATAAATATTCTGCATTGTTGCAGAACTATATACAGCAATGTGCAAAGTGGGACAAGAGATTTTCTGCAGTCGGTTGGCAGATATGAATGTGCATATTGTAGGCCTACTGCATGGTAAACACTGGTAACTTCTGCTGCAATAATTTTATCCTACTCAGTGTCATTTGGTTTGCAAAAAAAATACTGCACACTTCTGGATGTTTGATGCAGTGTACTTGTACTCAGGTGCATCGTGTCGTTTCCCATCAGATTCTCCACAAATTGCAAAATGCTGGTTAAAAATCTCCACCGACCGGTCTCAGCCAAAAGGTAGAATCTTCTTTTTTCGGCACATGGACGCCTCACTGTATTAAAACTGCTCTACGATCTCAGACGCTAAAGTGTGTGCGAACACTGCGAGTCAGCAGTTTGATTGACACGCCACTCAGCCTGTCAGTTACCGCCTTATCCACGAAGTGGCCTATCATTGCTATGGACTACACTGATAGGCGTGACAATAGACAGCCAGGCACATAATAGTTCTCAATTAGGTAATCTCTATTGAAAAAGTGGGACAAGTGGGACAGATATTTAACCCAGCTACAGAGCGTCCTTTAATAACATACTATAGCGTTTCGGGCGGTTAGGATGCAGGACACGTAATGTCCACAGTTTTGTAGCATTTTATCGGAAAATTTATCGTCTGAAAAAAACCATGTGTAGAGTGGTTGAGC